TAGAAAAACAGAGTGTCTTCAGTCAAAGGCTTCTTCAATTTCATTTTAATACAGACTGCTACAGGATATCTTTCCTGCCCACAGCCATCACCATCTACAATAACTCCTTAGTTAAATGAGTTACAACAGTATCTAATTTCCGTCTAGGATCAATAAAGTATTTTGGAATTTAATTGAACTGATTTGAAGATTGTATAGATAAGAGAGCCTATCTTAGCTGCCKTTGGGTGAAAKCAGGGGACACCTGGTCTTCAGTCCATCACAGGGACACCTGGGCAGGTCTCCAGTCCATCAGGGGCACAGACAAAGACACAAACATTTATCCAAAGCTCCAAAACTGATTCAAACAGAATCAAACTGAACTCTGGACTCATATCCCTCTGCTGCTGCACACATAGAGTTCTAATCCCTTATTAATTTATCATTTCTGCCATAATAATTTATAATTGATTATTATTGTGAGGAGTCTTTACCATTAAGATATAATCAGGTAGTCAAATGTTCACATGTACCTAAATTTATTATTAATAATATTATAAAGGTTAGTCATGCAAATTTATATTTATATGAAGAAGGTCGATGACCCCTGCTATAGTAGATGTTTAAGTATTGTCAACAATGCCTTGCAATAACACTTAAACACATCACGTCATATTTTCAAATTTCCTGCCAACTTTGACCATTTTTTAACAAAAACAAAGTGGGCCACCAGTTTTCTGAGGGAAAGCCTGCCTCTGTTATTTGAAGAGGAAAAACTGCATTTTATATACTGTATCGCAACACAAGATGTTCCAAGACCAAAGAACAAAGCAAAGGACAATAGATTTATTGGTGAATTTTGATTCATGCTACTTCTGCTACAAGTACAAAGGAAGAGATGTCAATTGAGGATAATTAAATTTTTCTAATTGCTTTAGTATGACTTTTTTTTTTCAATTGAATTATTAAACATCAAAGCCCCTGTGGCTTTGCTAGATTTATGTTACTCAGGAAAATCTGTTATGTAAAAAAAAGAGAAGCATTTACTAAAAAAATAGCTCTATATGCTGAATTGATCTTTTAACCAAAAGATTACATATCAAGGTTTCCTCACAAATGATATCTACCAGGCAGAATGGCTAAGCCAAATAAGTAATATATTTGGAACAAGCATATTATAAACTTGACATCACGGTTCAATTCAGGCCTTCAAACATAGTCAACAAAAAAGGTTTTTTGTTCTTTGTATTTCTGAGACACATGATTTCACCCATGATGAATGAGGAGATGAAAACGTGCCTACTTTTCTATTCAATCTGTGRCCCTTCGATTGCTTTAGCTGAGTCAAAATGGTCGTCTGAAGAAAAATGTTGCCTAACCCTTGACACAGACAGATCTCTGTAGTGGCAGCAATTGTTCCTCATGAATTTACAGAAAAAAGAATCCATCTGGATCGAAAAGTCTTTATTATTATTATTTCTTTATTTTTTATTCATGAGCATTGCTTAAGATAAAACTTTTTGTTCAAACYTTTCATTGACCAAAGTGGATAGAGCAGCGTTTGCAAGTTTATCATCAAATGAGATCCTTAGAGTTTCTAAAKTACTTTTAGAAAATTTACAGTCCAGATCTGTCTGTGGAATACTTAYGAACATTTATAAGATTTATAACAGAAGGTCTTTCCTGCCCACAGCCATCAGCATCTACAATAACTCTTTATTGTAGATCCTTTTTGCAAAAAACAAGTTTACGTTTGAAAATCAAATATCTTGTCTTTGTGGTGTATTCAAATGAATACAGGTTGAAAATTATTTGCAAATCATTATATTCTGTTTTCATTTATGCTTTACACAACATCCCAACTTCATTGGAACTGGAGTTGTACGTACACAAAGACATGCATCCTTTTATTATCAGAGGAGTCTTTTTCAAACCTTGAACTTTATTCAGTGAAGAAAAGTTTGATGGATCAATGCTGGAGACAGCATCTTATTTACCACCCAGTCCGGAGCTGAGTCAGCAAAAATCTAATGAATGCATATTGATAGAAAACATTCAAGGTAATAATGCTCAATAAATAATTCCAACCAGATTTTAAAAGGCAAAAAAAAAAAGATGACTTTTATGTGCACATAGATGGAAAGACTATACATGCAGAGGTGAGWAGATGATGCAGGAGATTAGTTTGACGACCGCAGCAGGAACATTGAGATCTATGAGTGAAAAAGGTCACATCATCACTGGTTTGCCTTTGACTTAATCCAAGGGTACAATGTTCTTCCTCTCATATCATCTCTGTACTTAATGCTGCCTCCTACAACCTTTAACACTGGAATGTTTTAAATTCAGCTTTTGACATTGGAACACTGAAAGTCATCCAATCAAATGTGTGTAACTGAGATGCTGACCACAAAATATATACTGCAGCRTCATAAAATCGGTTTATAGTTATGTATGATGAATAAGACTGCATATTTAAAGGGTCCTCAAGACTTAAAATACTATAAAAAATAACTTGTGAGAATCTGTCTATTGCATACACATGAAAATATCTACTTTTAAAAAGAATCTATTGAAGACTGGTTAAACTATCATATTCATAAATATTTAAATATTTAAAGTGTCTTTAAACATTTAAATCAAAGTGAAAACATTGATTTTGCATTAGGTTTTTGACAAAAGATCCTATCCAAATGTTTGTATTTAATTAAATACTTGTCAAGAAATACTTCACCGCAACAAAAGTAAGTAAATACTTTTGAAACCCACTGTGTAACATACAGTGGGTAAAATAAGTATTGAACACGTCACCATTTTTCTCAGTAAATATATTACTAGAGGTGCTAATGACRTGAAATTTCCAACAGTTGTCGGTAACAACCCAAGTGATCCATACATACAAAGAAATCAAACCATAAATGTCCAGAAATGAAGTTATTTGTAATAATGTGGAATGGCACAGGGA